ATCCTTTAGTCATAATATATGTAATACCTTATAGTGTTGTGCACTGTAATATTAACTTTGAGAACTAAAGTTACTCTGAGGTATAAAGGGATATTTTTTTTCTCATAAATACTGTATATGCTCTAGCTCATGTTGCCTAGTAACACCGTATACAGGTTCTCTCTATATATACAGTATAAGAAAATCAAAAATGAGGCATAAAATGATGGTTTGTTTAGGTGTACTTTATGGTTTCTTAGAATAGTGTCTGCCATATTGGGTAATCATTGGTGTCAAGCTTCCTTTCCCACATACATTCCTCATCAATAAAGTAAGTCACTGTCCCCACAGTGACATGGCTTGTGTGAATTTTAACTCATCAAATGCATAGATAAAACAAAACAGCTTCTGAACTGGAATAGTTTATGTGAATGTATTTTTTACGAACTCTTCAACACTCACACGGCTCCTTAAACTCCAGACTTGTCTCTGTCAAGTCATCATCCACTAACTTTGCCTGCATAGGGCAGTGAAATAGACACCTCTCCAGGTCTCTGAGGACCCCAGAGGCGGAGGAGAGGAGGGAGAAGCTGAGTGTGGATATTCCGACACTATATTTAAACCACATGTAGACAGACACTTACTCAACCTTATCAACCCTCTCTTTTCTTTTTTATATATATCACTCTCTTCTTCAACCCATCATCCCCACCTCAAGTCCTTCCTTCCTCCAGGGGGCCTTAACAATCTAATCATTCTCTGTCCGTCTTACTGCTTTTTTTGTTTTGTTTTGTTTTTCCCTTCTCTGTCAGCCATAGTGATCTTTACTCCACCAGCTACTCTCTTTCGAACTCCACCATTTAGCACTGCTAGGGACTCAATTAATAGCTGGGTGGCTGAAAACACAGGGTATTAATCTGTATAATATATTCTAAAGTCTTAAGTCTGACACCTAACAGAAAACAGCCAAATGGGTCAAAATATATGGCGGTCTAAACATGCCTGGAAACTCGCGGTACACTTGTCAGAGGTGGCGAAAATGTGTGTCTCTCGCACATAGGCAGGGCAAAATGGTAGGAATCTTCCCGTGAACACATCTACAAGCACCACCTATTGGGAACGGGAAGTAAGCCTTTAATGGCAACCATCATCAGATTTATATGAAAATTTCACAGTGTGAAAAATTTCACAGGATATGTTAACACATGTAGTGACCACAGCACACCCAGCTTGTGGGGACTGCGAGGGCCTGTTCATCGCTGCCTGCAGCTATTGCAATGTTTTTTTCAGCATCATTGCATCTTCTACAATATTGTGGTCTTTTCCTTGACAAAAGGAAGCCCTATAGCTCACCTTTTAGAGCTAGCATCCCATGTAACAAAGCTGAGTCTTTGTTGCAGCAGCCATGGATTCAAAACTGACCTCTGGTCCAAGTTCCTATTGCCGTATTATTATCTGAAAAATTTTCACTTCTGCATGTGAAAACATTTTCAGTGGGTGAAAACCATGTAAAATTAAAGGAACAATGGGTAAACAATTTACTATATTAAAAAAAATAAAATTACAGTAATATGTCATCAGACTCTAAGTAAACAGGTTAAACTGAAATACTGTCTGCTCTGACAATACTTTTAAAGTCGGTATACTCTCATTTTGGTGTGGAATTTCTCTTTATGTTTTGTCCTGTGTGATTGCGCCGACTGCCTGTTTGGACACCGGGTTGCCAGGTATGAAGCTACGCAAGCACAGCGAGCTGCAGCCATGTCAGCAATCAGTGTATCCGCGGAGATAATGTTGGAGCCTGTCCGACCTAAACAGCCTCTGCATCTGTATAAAGAACTCCATGACCAGAGACGTAGTCAAACATGGGTAAATGTTGGAGATACATTTGAAAGATGGAGACAGCTTTGTATCAGAAAGGACTTCAGGACTTTTGTGGAGTTGTATCCATAGTGTATGGGACAGACTGTTGTTGTTTACTACCTCGACAACAACCAACATGACAACAGAAGAACAGAAACACAATTATGACTGTAGATTGACTCAATTGGCAAATGTGATTTATAGTATATAGAGTAACATAACTCATGCCCATCCCTAGCTGCTAGCTATTTATCTATGTTATCCTATATAAACCATCTGTAATCTAAAGTGTACAGACCAGCTGCTTTAAGTCAATGATTTTGTAGATGAATGCAACAACAAGCATATTTATTCATCAACACAGGAAGTCATAAACTAAGATGAAATGATCAACTTCATGGCAGAAAGGGTTTATGTTTATTTATTTTTCCAGGAGCTGTGGCTGGGACTGCTCACCATATGACAAAGGAACACAACATGACTGCATTAACACAATGGGACACAGTACTGGCTCATAGGAGGCTCATGAGGCTCTGACAGACATTATCAGGAACAAGCAATGGCTGAAGTGAGTTCATAAGTACCTGAACTCATTTGTGTGTTTGTTTTTGAACAATGAGAATAAAAAGCTAGATAAATGCTCATGACTGTATGTTTTCACAGATCTCCTGATGGAAGCAAACAGTGAGTTGGATTGTTTTTAGGCCATATTAACAAACTTTTTGCACAACACAATTAATCTTATATAATCTAGTGGAGAGATGTGAAGATGATAAGGAAGATTACTGCCAGGAGGAGAAACTATACAGATTTATTTTCTGCATCACTCCTAACAAATAATTAAATAATAAATAACTACATAAATAGTTATTACTGATGTCTTTGTATCATTAGTTTACTCATACAGCGGTTAGTTTTATCACTACTGTAACTTGTGTTTTTCACGACCATTATCAACAACTCGTCATTTCATTACAATCCCATTATGTTAATCCCTTTTGTGTGTATGGACCTCTGCCTGTATTGCTCTGTAAATAGGACATTTATACATGATTAATAAAGTAGTTGATGACTTTTAATGTGGTCTTTCTTTCATCAACTCATAATGCTCACCTTTACTGATGTGTTCATTTTGCAAGGAATAATTATTACAGCATTATTGTTCACAAATAACTCCACTACAATGATATGACAATATAGAATCTCAATATAAAGTCAGAGATGACTAGTAGTACAAGAAGGGATACAAACACTTATAGTGACCAGCCTGACCTCCACTCCCTACATGACTACATGTTCTTATTTAATATAAGCAATTAGTTGAATATGAATATAATGTATAGGAGACATAAATGCTTATTGTTATATCCTGCATATAACATATAAGTAAGTTACTTCATTATCAGTAAGTTGTACAAACAGTATTAAAGATACATGTTCAACACTCCAATGTAATTCATATAGTTGCTATAAATACATACAGATGTTTGGTGCATTTATAAAAAAATCATGGGCCTTATTTTTCTTATGTTTCATGTATTAAACAGTCTCACTTAGAATAAAACAAAGCAGATCTCTACTTAACTTCTATACTTCTATTCATGCACTTTTATCTTTTTTTAACTCCCTCCCTGGTTTTATAACTCCTCCTGTCTCTTGGTTTTTCATACTGTCTCAGTTTTTCACACACCAGTATATAGCCTATGAAATATCTTCTGCTCTTTCATGCTTCGTGCTGGCTGCCTTCCCTTGGGCATAGTTAGCTGTCTTTACCCCCCTGCCCCCAACTCTCTCATATTCTGAGATAATTCATTGAAATATAAGGCATGATAGGGGGAGGTTTTACCAAAGGTTTGCGGGGGTCAATTCTGCCTCATTTACATATATGCTATGACAGTAAACTTCCTTGAGCCCTGAGGCAATATAAGATATTAGATGTATGTGTGCTGTAACCCAGGGATAACATGTCCAGAAAGTCTAGGTTGAAAAGACATGTATCAACACATACATACACATACAGACACAAGTTTTGACTAAAGATAGATATAAAATATTATTATACAAATAGAGGCTGTTGTTACTATTGTGTGCTAGTATCAGTATCAGAAAACCATCGTCTATCAAAGTGCTTTCCAAGAAGGTGCTTACAAAGCATACATACAATGAATATAAACAGGTTTTGAGATGAGTTTTGAGAATTTGGACAGATTCAACTGACAGCAAATGGAAATGCAGTCACTGCAAAAGCCCTTTAGCCACCAGTCATAACCAAGACCACCAAACTCAACAACATACATGTATTTTGTCATTGCTTTCCACAGACTGGTGCCACTGCTATGGTAAAGGTTTGAATAGGTTCAAGCACTGGAACTGCTTGGTTAATGTTAGGGAAAGATGGCAGTCATGGTTCAAATGTATGTATTCCTTGTAAGTTTGGAAGGTCCTTATCAGTTATTAGTGTCTTTACTAGGTATTGGTAAAAACTCTTATAGAGCTATTATTGTAGCAAAACTATTTACAAATGTGAGTGGAGAGTTGTGTAACTGTATCTGAGTCCATTGTGTAATCAGATTTGTAAATGTGTAAAAGAATGAACAACAACAACAACAACTGTATTCTGATTTGTAAATGTATTGAGATTTGTAAATATGTAGACAAATCTGTAAATGTGTACAGAGATCTGAAAATGCGTGGACAAATGTGTAACTGCAGACATACATATTAATGGAGAGAAGTCTGAGAAGTTTTTGCCTGAGAAATACAGACAATTCACCCGTTACAATTCAGTACACTGCAGAAATTGCAATTTATATTTAATATTCATAAATTAATAACAGTTGTAATTAGCTAACCAGTGCAGTATTAATTTAACTAACAATATGTAACTTCCTATCGATCAATAGTGGACACCACAAGGACAACATCCACTTGATATTATAGTGCAACTATTGTACACACACAAATGTGTAGACACACACAGAAATACACACACACACACGTACTCTGTCCTGATGAACCGCTGTTGATTTTATCATCACTCTCATGTTGTGCTACATTACAGCAGACCTTTTAAACCACATCTTATAGCTTTCTCCCATAAACCACAAAACCATATAACACCCTGGCATTTTGATGACATTTGCACAAATGCTTCTTACCGGAGTGAAGTTCATGACTTTGAGTATCCAGATGGTCAGTGCCAGGTTGACGATCATGGTGACGAGGAGGAGTAGGATGAAGAAGTACAAGCATCTCTTCCTCCAGCCGTAGATTCCCACTGCTGGGTAAACCTGGGCACCGCAAACTGACGCCCCCCTCTGGTGGAGTGGGTTGGGCTGCGCTGCAAGGATATACTGCTCCTGGGTCATCTGAAAGGGACACAAACATGAAGAATATATGTAAGAATGGCCCATTTGTATAAAACATCCAATTTTGAGATCTCGTCCACACTGTGCACAGCTTTTGAGTGAATGCCAGAAATATATAATGTATTCCTTCTTTATACAGAGGCTGGAGTCACTAACATTATTTTAACTTGTTTTTTATTATTTTGGAGTAGAAAATCTGAAATTGTTCAGCTGTGCACAGATGCTAGACAATTCTCTCTGCTAGAGATTTTAAGGAGAAAAAAAAGAAAGAAGATAAAACGCAAAGATAAAAAGCATATTTATTCCTCCCGTTTCCACCCATGCAGTGCAGACAAAGATAAGGCGAGAGAGAGAGAGAGAGAGAGAGAGAGAGAGAGAGAGAGAGAAGAGGTTGAACTTTTGGGGTATTGTCCCTGGTGGTGGGGAAGATGGAAACAGTATCAAACAGGTGGAAAGAGGAAAAACAGAACAACTTAGAAAATGAGGGTGAGAGATAGCAGGAAAGGCATGAGAGAGCAGTGGTGAGCGTGAAAGAGAAAGACCAAAGCATGATAAAAATTAGATAGAGGTGAGGCAGTGAAGTGGAGAGATAGCATGGCATCAAGTAGTAAGAGATAGAAAGGAGCGAGAGGAGAGAGAAAGAGAGAGAAAGAGAGGGGGGCAGATAAGACGGCAGAGGAGGACAGAGTCCATTAGTTGTAGTGCAGCAGGAGAAGTCAATGGTGGCAAGAGATATGGACACTGGCTGCAAGGCACTACTATCTCTGTCCATCTCAGACTCTCTAACTCTCTCTCTCACTCACCTTGCGCTCTGTACCTCGAATTCTCTCTCTCTCCCCTCTCACTCCCTAATTCACTTCCTATCTCCCTTCTGCACCTCTCTCTCTCTCTTTATCAGTCTCTCTCTCACACACACATTATGTCTTTATTTGCTGAGGCTGCATGACCTTAACACCTCACCAACTTGATTCCCCCCCCTTGCAATGCTTTTTCTCCATATAGTCTCACATGATGATACCAACAAGCCTTGATGGGAAACAAAAATGCTGACTCTGCTTTGCCTGCAGAAAAAAATAAATAAAAGAAAATGCAGACTTGGCCTGTTCAAATTTTGTTGGGTTTTCAGTGGAAGAGTCTCAGAGGCAAATATCAACTTGTTATCTGTATCTCCACATGTGTCCTGTTTCTTGGACACAAAAGCCCAAGGTCTTGTTGTACCTTCTAAACTTTGTAAAATGGAACTACTGTTGAGAGTTTTGAGATTGTGTTATAGATATTATGCGAATGCATAATCTGACTACAGATACTGTTGGTTTTGCCCAAACTTTACATTCTCCCATCTTAATTAACAATACAAATACACTGATTTTACTGATACACTGGTTTATGTATCTTTTTAAAAGGCTTCAATAATACAGCATCTTACCGAAAACAGTTATAGGCTAAAACCTAAATTCCAGAATAATCAATTCAAAAGTAATGATCTCACTCCAACAACACCAGTCCAACCAGTCCTACAGTGTGGTGATGTTTTATAGATTCTAACACAGTGCTATGTTTTCTTTTACACTCGAGGAGCCATTTTCCATGTGAATTAACATAGATACTCGGTGACTGAACTGTGCTCAGACAGCAAAAACACATCAAATGCAGACAGAAATACAGCCAAGATGCAATGAAGACCCAATCAACCAAAACATCTCTGGGGGTGCACAGTTATATGTTTGACTGCTAAGCTAAATTCAGTGTGTCTATGTGTAGCAATGATTAAAACTTTATCAGAGCAATATATTTGTTAAGAATGAAGAAGAAGACAAACAGAGCATTTAAGATCCAATTTAAGATAGGTGATGAAAGGATATGATATATATCACAATCTTTTTTTTTGGCAAAGGAAGGATGAAGCCACTTTTTAATGTGCATACCAAATATGCATTTAATATTTGGTTTAAATGCAATCCAATTAATTCATATCTAGGCACAAGCTGGATATGAGACACATATTAATGCCAAGTGGAAAGGGCTTAATGTTTGTCAAGTGGGCTAATGAATTAATGATGTTTTGCCTTTTCACAGTGAAGAAATGATCCTGCAATATTCTCAGCTGGTTCATCTGTTTCGCTTTTTGGGTGCATCTGTTCAGTCTGTGCAGATACAATGCATATAAATCAATAGTTGGGTTTTGCTGTGGAATTGGGCATTGGAATGGGCTGCTGATCATTTTATCTCAGTATTCAACATCCACACCGAATCGATAGCAGAGTGTGTGTACCTGTGCTGTTATGTATTCTGTGTGTACGGGAGTTTTCTGTGGCGCCTTGGAATGCTAATAATTTTTCCTGCATGTACCAAACTCATCAATAGGTGTAGATTTATATTTGTGTGTGTGTGTGTGTGTGTGTGTGTGTGTGTGTGTGTGTGTGTGTGTCATTTTTTTCATGGGTGTTTCTCAAGGTCAAGAATGTGAATCAGCCAGTGATTAGTCTGTGGCCATTTTTTATGTGTGTGTCTTTTTTTATTTGTATTTACTCATTCACTGATTGGTGTTTTACTGTAAGCATTATGACTTCTGTCACTGCCTCATTCATTGTCTTGTATGTGTGCTTGTGTCACAGCCATGCATGGTTTTCAATTCAACTCCTTTTCTCCTCCCCCACAGTTCCATAATTTCGAATATCATATTTGTCATACTTTTTCACACAGCCTTTTGTCATACAAAATGCCCCACACCACTCCTTCACTTGGCTCTATCCTTGCTTTCTTCCTTTACCTTTCCTTCCATTTTTATTTGTCATTGTCGTTTCTAATATTTTTCAGTAATTTCCTTCCCTCTTAATTCAAATCTAAAGCATATTTCTGTCCTTGCCCTCACTCTCCTCATTAATCATTAAACATTGATTATTTTCTCTTATCCTAAACCTCCAACAAGGAGGTTCTAGCTGGTTATGGAACAGTCTCAATTTACTACTGATGTCTTTATATGAACTACATAACCACACAAGACTGTCAGCTATATACTTATTCTTAATGCCTGCCACCTGAATTCCTCTTGAAATCAATGAAACGAGGCAGTTGAAACACTACAGCTTTTGTCCACAGGGGTTGCCAGAATCAACAAAACATAAAAGTTCCTTGTTGCTGCTTTAACTCTCCATTTCTGCATTCTTTCTACTTTTTCTTCCTCACTTACTTCATTGCTTTCTTCCTTTGAGCTCTCGGTTCCTAACCAAACCATTTTTGTTCTCCCCTTTTCATCCCTCTCTACTTCTGTCCTACACTCATCCCTCCCCCCCTTTCCAGTGCATTTCTTAGATTGAACTGACAACAGAGTCATCAATCAATCCCATGGTGCACCAAAGCCTGGAGGCCCTGCACAGCATGACCTAACTTTATTAACATCATAATGTCTTGACAGCCATAAAAACAACAGCTACTAGAGCCACGTTACCATGGTTACCATTACAGAATAGCATCAGCTGTGATCTAACAATGCTCTCAGCAGAACCAAAACTCTAAATTAGACTGTATATACAATATATAAATAGCATGATTTTTATTTATATATTTTATAAACATTTTAAGGATGTACCTTTCACTAAATTATTTGTTATAGTGACCATTATGGTAACACGTAAGCAATATTACATGAAATAATAAATAATGTTGACATAAATAATGTCAACATAATGAGGTGGTCATCATCAAAACTCAGGTGGTGGACACACATCTGCATTAAAAACCCAGATAAACGGACACCTTAACACACTCACTCATTGTATCCCCATGTGGCACCAGACCGAAGCTCAGCTCTTTACTTTGAAGATTAGATGGCGAGTAAATGAGAGGAGAAGAAAAAGATGAGAGGAGATGAAGTTGAGCAGGGAGAAGAAGAAATAGACAAATGAGAGGAATTAAGAAGAGAGAGCAATACATGATCATGATCCATACATCATCGTATCGTGACTTATCAATCCCCACGACCCCCAAAAGAGCACCTCAAAATAAACAGCATTAGATGAGAGGACAGGAGATATTACTTGAAACTGTCTTTCATCTTTCAAGTAGCTCCAATTCACATAAAAGAAGACTTTTAAAATTCATTATGACAAATAGGAAATCACAAATTTTCCCTCATATGACAAGTCACAAGGGTTATTTGCAGTGGATAGCAGATGATGGTTTGGTTCAAGCTGGGAGCAATATGATCCAGGATATCATTATAATGATGGCAAATATATAGCTGTCAATGTAAAACGTAATTATAAATTCAGTTTCAGTCTCCTGCAGTCTTGTGGGCATTTCCTTTTTTGATGTAAAACAAAGCTTCTCAGCATATCCGGTAAGAGACATTTCAGAAAGAATTGAACACTGATGCACAGTGTCATCCTCTTTCATTATATAAGTAAATGAATGTTAATGCATGTGGGATGTGAAATATGTGTCAAGTCAGATTCAGGTTGGTGGACGTTGCAAATGAAGGTGGATAGTGGGAACAGACACGTGTGCTGCCTGATAATGTATGTGAAAGCTACATAAATTGACAGGCGGGTGGATATGGATGGATTCGTCATGGGCACATTGATGGATAATGAATAGAAGGATGGATGGATGGACTTGTACACAGAAACTCAGACTGCTCAAGATTTGGTTTCATAGCTGAAATCCGTATCAAAGTGTAATTAGTATGCGTACATGGGCGATTGGTACTGCTGCTATATGTGAAGTGCTAAGGGCGTCAGCCAGCATCACACAGCCCGGCTCTCCTCTCATCTGCTTATACTCAATCAATACCACCGCTTCAATATCACTTCTCTTCTGATGGCCTTGACATTCTCTCTCCCTGTTTTCTTTCCATCTGCCTCTTTAATGCAAGCTCCCAAGGAGAACGTTTACTTTTCATAGGTGAGTGGTTAAGATCAACCAATGTGTGTTTTTGAAAGATTGATCTTGAATTGTAAGGTGGAGGAAGCCAAAAATTAGCATCGATAATTAATGCTGTT